ACAACACTTAGACCGCGACTCCGAGGCACCTCCACACCAAAAGGAACAAATCGCATGTGTCCGCTTTGTGTGCCCCCGGTTTGGAGTATGGACTTCGTGTGGTGTCTTCAGTGTCGGCTCCTCATTCTTTGTTATTCACACCGAACTATAGACTCATTGCTCCTTTACCGAACTATTTGCGGACACTCTTACCCTAGACCGCTCTCTTCTTAAAGCCCCGGCCGCTAACGCCCGTCTTGCCCCCCCCCCCCCCACCCACCCCCCCCCCCCCCCCCCCAAACTAAGCCCCCCCCCCCCCCCCCCCCCTCCCCATCCCCCCCCCCCCCCCCCCCCCCCCCCCCCCCCCCCCCCCCCCCCCCCACTTTACTCTTCAACGTCCGACCAATCAGAGCACACTGTGCTCAAAGGGAGGGTGGGGGCTGGAGCTATTGGAGCTACAACGAGCCGTTAAAGGCAGAGAGTGAAATTCAGTGAATGCACGTAGTTTACAGAGATGCTGTATGAGAAACCAATGTGAGTTTGGAAAATTGCACAATATAAATCTATTCTAGTAGACCTCAACAATGGAATTATGATCAGTAGAAATGGCCATGACATGGGACCTTTAAGAGCATTCCAAGGAATATGACAAAAAGTGTATCTCGAGCCGGTTTCGCAAACTTACCTACCCCACCTTTAATGAATTGGTAATTTAACTTAATTAAAGAATGTGAGTACTCCTTCAACCTCTGCTAACTGGTCATGTCATTATAATAAATAAACAGATGAGGAGGAGAAACTTAATGTGTGGCTTCATGTGTTTTCAGGGAGAAAGACTGTTCATGGCGACATGTTTGGGGCTATAATCTGATGTTTTTATGATCGAGTGTTTGGCTCCACATGGTTCTGTTTCTTTGTGTTTCGAAGCTCAGCCCTCAGGTGGCACTGACCCAGAACAAGTGCAGACAGGTGATGAAAGAAAACGTTACCTGGACAACCTCTTTGACCACATAACAGCAAGACGTGTGGGCGGCTGATCTCACACACACACACAAATACACACAACCTGTGGCACTGTGCAGTGTGAGAGGAGGGAAATAGACTACCAAGGGCGAAAAACTAAAAACACTTTCCGGTCCTTTTAAGAATCTTTTAAGACAGAGGTTTGCAGGAATATCTCAGAATTAGGAGATATTTGATGTTCTTATACTACTTTACAATGGCATTTTGCAGGCTTCTGTAAATGCAGTGTAGATAGAACAAATAAATAACCCAGTGAAGACAACTATGAAGAGTAAAAGCCCCAAAGAAAATACAAAAATACAAATAAGATGTACAGTCAAAGGTGTACCATTGACAGCTTTTGTTTGGGTGTTAATAATATGTTCCTTCTCTCTGTCTGTACCTGTGTACTCTCAGGTTCTGAATAACCCAGCTTCCCTCAAATTTATTTTGGGTGTTTATCTACGTCGGGATCCTTATCTACGTCGGGATCCTAAGTCGTGGCTGATCCTGAGTTCTGGACTTCGAGTCGTGGCTGAACCTGTCTCTGCGGTCCTGCCTGACTCTCATCATACTGCTTCCCTGATGGCTCCCACAGGATTGCTGACATCCTCGTGGATTCATCTTCTTATTATAGACACATGCATTTCCAAACATTCGGTCTACCTACGCTGTGAAATTTATTATCTCTTCAATTTACACACGGCATCTATTGCACGTCTGTCCGTCCTGGGAGAGGGATCCCTCCTCTGTTGCTCTCCCTGAGGTTTCTCCCATGTTCCCCTTTAAACTGTGGGGTTTCTCTGGAAGTTTTTCCTTGTACGATGTGAGGGTCTAAGGACAGAGGGTCTAAGGACAGAGGGTCTNACACAGACACACACACACACACACACACACACACACACACACACACACACACACACACACACACACACACACACACACACACACACACACACACACACACACACAAAGATGCAGTTGTCTTTGAATTACTGGGTCGGACCCAAGGCTGGTTGTGGTTAGATTTAAAATGGGTTCCAAAATGACATCATGTTTTTCAAACTACTGGCTAGAGGAATAATGCCAAATCATCAAGGTTCTTGCAACTTGCAACATAGGGTGAATTGGAAACTGTAGCCAAGTACATTAGTTGCCCAAACTTACATTTGTCTTGAACATGTCATTAAAGTCTGGTAAAGATCTGCAAAGACGAGGTTGATTTTAATTAGAAAGACTTCTTGTTTACACACATAGTATAAACACAATATTGGAGTGTTTACCAACCAAAGAGAATACAATATTATTCACACTAAAACAGCTTGAAAATAGCTTGAAGACACACATTTTTGTAGGTTCATTTGGTTTAAGAAAATGCTAGATTATTAAAAACTAATTGTATAATTCAGTTTGTACACTTCATGGAAAATATGCTTAGCTACATTTTAATATTCTATGCTCCATAGGTAGCTTACTCGATGAAAACAACTCATTCCTGACGGATGAAATGGTATGTTTCTTCTACCACACACACTGAGGGGGGTGAAGATAGCAAGTGTTTGGTTCCAATTATGTTTTCCTCTAATTCTCTTTTCTTTTCATTACCCGTTTCCCCATCAAGCTCCTCTGCTTCTCTGATTGGTTTCCTATCTGTGTATCCTGCTTTGGTAGTTTCAGTTGACATGTATATTAACTTTCCTCTGGTTCCTCTGCACCTTCTCAACGCTGTCTTGCTTTTATGTTGTCTCCCTTGACTTTGAATCTCTTCTTTCTTTATCCCAATTCCAGGTTTTTGTGACGCTACATCTCTCTGATGCTTGACACACAGATCCTTCTTCCCTTGTCCATCTTTCCTAAGTTTCTTGTTGCTCATCTTTTCCTGTTCCAACAGGTCATGGTCCTCTCCTCTGTCCTTCACAGGCTGATGTGTGGCCTCTAGCTGAAGGACTTGTCTAAACCAGCAGAGCCTTGAGAAGCGGCCCTGACAGGCAGCTGAGCACACACACACACACACACACACACACACACACACACACACACACACACACACACACACACACACACACACACACACACACACACACACACACACACACACACACACACACACACACACACACACACAGCAGTGTTGTGTATCCTTCACACTGGCAGCAGTTCAACTCTGTTTACCCCTGTACAGCAATAAGCTCAAGAGTAAGGAGTTGGTGCAATTAACTCCCACTCTGTTTGTCCGTTACACACACACATGTATGCTGACAGCCATTCCAAACAGCAGGAGGCATGAAGCATAGCAAGTTGTTGAAAAAAAACTACTTTTAAAGTATTACAATATGATACTTTCATGTACTATATATATGTATGTGCCTTTATGGGGTGAACCTGTGGTTTATCCCAGGCAATCAAACTAAGCATGTCTGCATGTGTGTATGTAGTGTGTGTAGTGTAGGCACAGAGCATTCAATGTCCATAACCATCACCCCTGTCAAATAAATATAGAGAGAGTGGATGGAAGACAGGGAGCAGAGCACATTGAAAGAAAAGGTAGCAGGGAAAGCAATGGAGTGGGAGGGACATTTACATTCCCTTCAGGCTCTTTTCCAGAGCTGCTAAGAATCAGTGCAACAGTATAATATGCTGCAGGTACTCTAATAATACAAATGACATGTTCAAGTTAAACAAGTGGAACATCAACAGTAAAACATGTTGACATTAAGCCTGGGAACATGAGGATCAGGTACCTGCTGCATGCTGCTCCCTCTGTGAGGTTGGTACAACAGCCATGTGCAGAAAACTGGGTCCACATTTACAGATATGCCCTGGACACTGACCAGCAGGACTGCACCTAGACAACACAGAAACACAGAGAAAAATAACAGAACTGTGGAAAACAAACAGATTACAATGGCATTCGGAGATAAGATACGTCAGCCAAGGCCAACGATGCATTCACATTCTCTGCTGATGGTCCCATTCATTCAGTTGGAATAGTTGTGGGTGTGATTATAGGCTTTAAGTCTTAATGTGGAAGCAACATGGCCGTTGAAACTTAATGGGTTGTTTTCTCTTGGTTAAAGCGTTGATGTTATCGTCTCACTGAATCAACTGAAGGTAATAACCGACTAAATAAAGTGACTAAGGGGAAACCTCTTCCTCTCCCGAGCAGTTGACAGTCCTCATGACCTGCTGCTGGGTATGCAGCCTGCTTGATGGAGCAAAGCAAGGAGCACAGTTTGTTTCAATGGCGCCGTTCGAAGTTGAGTCACACTAAGCCAAGAATAACATTTTCTTTTGATACATTTCTATGAAACTCGAGCCTTTCTCTGGGTTTTGGTTTACTCTTAAATAATAATCTTTACCAACAATAAGCGGGCCCTGAGGTAATGCATTAGGATCCTATCAATAATGATTCCCATGCCGGCAGGATTAGCGCAGGGTCTCTGGCGTGCCGTGGAATGTCCCAGCATGACGATAGGAGGATGTTTCAGCTCTAGAAGGACTTTCAGCATTTAAATGGAGCTTTGGACAGAACCCCGGTCTTCTGTTTCAAGCCCTGAGGCAAAGTGTTAAAGTGTGTAAGTGTAAATGTGTGTGTGCATTTCACCTCCGACAAAGCCTGATTGCTTGTTGGTTTGCCTCACATTTAAGAGTTTGTATAACATGGACACACACACACACACACACACACACACACACACACACACACACACACACACACACACACACACACTTGGCAGGAGTTGCTCCCTCCATTATTCCCTGTGAACAATACAATTAAAGCTCTAATTTGCTCCACTTTAAAATGTTCAGCGATGTGTGACCTGTGAATGTGCTTGTGTGAGCATTAGCAATATGAAGTAAATGTGTATGTGTGTGTGCATATGGTCATTTATATAAAGTATTTTGAGTGTGTGTATGTGTGCATCTACAGTATAGTATGATGTCATGGTGTATGCATGCATCATGTCAGTAAGTCTACTTATTGACCAGGTGCATTTCAATCTTCAGCTGTGTTTTCTTTCTTGAATTTACGTTGTAATTGGATCAAGTCAAACACATTTCTTCCTTTATTCTATTACTCCTACCTCCCTATCCATCACCACTTTTCACTGTGTCCCTAACAACAGCCATACTGGTATTTGTATCCGCTTATTTCAATTTGGTTCTAAAACACTCACTCACTTACTTAATTCAGCCTTCATGTATACCTCTCCAACACAAACTGTCTCCTCATACTTGTATCCTTCATTGCCCCCCCTTTTTCCCTTTCACCCCTTTTTACCCTTCCTTCTGAAACCATACCTCCACCCTTCCTTGTCATCCTACATCCACCTCTTTACCCCTCCTCCCGATGAAGAATCACAACCTCAGCCCTGTGGCTTGAACTCATATACCACAGTGTGGCTGCGTAATAGGCTTTGGCTGTGGCTGTATGCTGAGGCCTGACTTCAAGTGGTTTCATCATAGCCGGACAGCTTGAGCAGTATAGGCCCCAAAAGGCAGGGAATGGGCTGAGTAACTAAGATGTATTCAATAAACTGACCCTAAATTGCGGTCTATGGGATGCACTGAGCATGACAAAGCACATTCAGCAGAAATGAGTCATATCATAATAAATCATATTACTTACTAGATGGATGGTTTATTTAAAAAACATATTACAGAGATATTTAAAATATATAAAATGGCTAATTGCAAATAGCTATGTCAAGCAGAGCTGTTTACACATAATGCACGTTAAGGCAAGTGACACTGCCACCAGTTATTTTATTCATTCTATACTTACTGTGGAACAGTCTCAAAGAAAAAGAAAGTGTTCATAGAAAAGGAATCCTCTGCAGGACCAGAGCAGAACACTGTGTCATTGCCACAAACAAATACAAAATGTAAGATTCCATTATAACCAAAATATCTTATCATCAGCTGATGTGTTTTGAGAGTATTCAAGTCCAGACTGTTGGATGTCTAAATAACTGACTGAGCTGAAGCAAGTGGCATTGTATCAGCAGTGTTTAAAGTTTGATGCCAGCAGCTGTCATCTTATTGTGGCTGTGTTTAACATCTGTTCGGCTTCTGCAAATGACAGCCATGACCATTTTGATACATCACAACCCCACTCAGAAAGCTCTCTTGCTGAAATTAACAGAGCAAATCTTTTTTTTCAATCTTTTCTCTGAGTCTCTCTCTGCCAATTTGACAGTGACATAGAAACAAAATATGTGTTGACCTGGCTTATGAGGCTTTGAAGAACAAGGCTTTACCGTGCACGCATGCATGTGTTTTGTTTCATTAATGTGTTGACATAACTGTCCCGAGTGTGACACCTCCTTTGAAGCATGCAGCACCATGAAACAGCCCGGCATGCTAAGGCGACCTCGGCAGCAGGCTAAACGTTGTTGTCTTTTCTTCTCTAACAGTGTAGCATATGGGCAATTACAGAAAGTGATGACAATGATAACAGGGGTGTTTTTCTTACTTCCTAAATTATTCCTCGAGAAAACACCAGAAAACTTCTCAGTGGCCCAGACTTTGAAAATACACAAAGGCGCAGAATCTCCGTGCAAACATATGTGAATACACACTTACCTTGACTCACCCACAGTTGACCTATTAATGTCAGAGGTGTTTTTTTTTCTAAGACCTGTGGAGTTAAAAGAGAGCACGGGGCTGCTGGTGTTGTTTTACGGCTGTCTGACATCAGGCTGATCACAGCCTGAGGCTACAGCATTAGACCAGACTGAGTGGAGGCCTCTAACCTGTCTAGGTTCTTTAGCCTCCTATGTACTGGGCCAACAGCCCCAGTAATCAGCAACACATATTTCTGTCTTCATATTGTCTTTTTATCAGGTGACATAATTTATACATTGACATTTTCAAATGCAAAATCTGTTTTTGTTCAGTCACTACAAGCATGAAATTCAATAAACTGGGAGCGGTCGGTTCAGTGCAAGTTAAAAAACCACGTCCCACAGTGGAGACCAAAACCCTGATTGGGGTTACAGAGGGCGCAACCTCCCAACTAAAGGGCCATGACCCCACCATCAGAGTTACAGACAGGCTAAGGGAGGTGGGAGAGACTCACCATCTACCCCCCAGGTAGACTGAGGGGGAGGACTCATGTTTGAGCCCCCTCAGAATCGCTTCATTGTTGGACGTGAGGCAGCGCTGGGACCCTGAGACCAGCTTCTCCAACAGAAAGTAAATAAATATAGCCAGCCCGCGTCAGCCAGATGACTTCGGACAGGTTTGGTTAATTTTGAAGCCAAGTAGCAAAACAAAACATTACGCCAGCGTGCAGGGCCTACTTTAATTGCTTTTCCGATGAGCTCATGACTTGAAGGTGTCCTGGAGCGGGCCGTGCTGCCCGACAGGTGTTCTACGGGTGCACGTGTCAATGGAATGTGTGTGAGGGAAAGAGCAAGAGAATGAGAGAGGAGCTGATTACAACACTAAAAAGGGGCTCAGCTGTGTGTAACTGGGTACACTGAACAGTGTGTCAATATGTTTGATAGAAGTGTGCACGTCTGGAAGAGGATTAGGGCCACATGAAAAACATTTTTGGGGGCTGTGACATTTATTTATTTTTGGAGAAAAAAGTCAGAATTCTGACTTTAATCTCAGAATTCTGACTTTTTTCTCGGCACAAATATAGGTTTTATAGAAGGAAAACCTCATTCACTTCATGAAATGGCTGCAGCACCAGGAGGCAGCAGGACATTTAACTCAGCCTCTGAGAAGTGCAGCACCAGCTGATTTGAACACAAATTCACCATCAACTAGTTGTTCATTAAAATGCATATTAGCAGTATATTGGCTCTTTATTAGTCATTATAAAACACTTATTAATGTCTTATTCTACATGACCATATTCTACAAGTAATAGGCCATTAGTTGAGTGTTTTTCCTCAATAACCCTCTAATTAGTGCTTATTTATTGTAAGTAGGGAAGTTGTTGTACATGAGTTTTGTTCTTAATATGCTCTGCTCAATATGGGCCTAATAAGGCAGTAGTATCACAATAATAGTAATTAAATAAATATGATATATTCTTATGTAACAAGACATGAAACTATAAGTGTTAATTGTGTCTAAATAACTCTATTGCTGGTGAAGCTGGTACACCAGCAAGGTCTCATTATGTTAGCTGGTGAAGTTGGATTACCGATTTAGCTAAATAAATAGAGAGAGAGAGAGAGAGAGAGAGAGAGAGAGAGAGAGAGAGAGACAGAGACAGAGAGTGAAACAGACAGACAGACGGAGACGGAGAGACAGCAGTAGTTGAAACAAAGCGGTATAAAACATTGTTTTGACTGGCGCTAACAGTCGGGACTCTCTGGAGTGAAGATCAGTTGAGCGTTTCTGGAACTCCGCCCAGCGGCTGCTCTTCTGAGACGAACCGCTCTGACAGCTGTCTCTATTGTTTTCTGCAGTTTGTGTTGACACTGAAAAACGTGATGTCGTTATTTAAGGGTAAGTTAACTTAACGTTATCATAAAAGTTGAGAGAGTTACGTTTTGTTTAAAATCGTCAATGTAATGCAAGTTAGAAGTTTTCTGTTGAACATGACGTTAGCTAACGCTAGCTTACTCTTTTTACCATTGTTATTTACTATAAGCAATTGTTGACTGTAACGTCTATTAGACCCTCCAAAAAAACGCGGGCTAAAATCCTTGATTATGCGGGCTAAAATCCTTGATTATGCGATAAAACATGCAGGTTTTTATGTGATTTTATGCTGTGAAATTACGGGAAGTTGCGAAATATGCGGAAAGTTGCGAAAAAGAATAGATTTTTTTAAAATATTGGGCTGTCTTATTTATTTATTCACACACACACACACACACA